ATGGGCTGCCATAACAAAACCCCATAGACTGGGTGGCTTAAAAAACAGTAGTTTATTTTCTCACTGTTCTGGAAGCCAGAAGTCCAAGATCAACATTCTGGCCTGTTCAGTTTCTGATGAGGACTCTTCTCTTGGCATGTAAATAGCCATGTCTTCACATAATCTTTCCGTGGTGAGTATGCACAGAGAGAGGGAGCATGCACATATGAGATAGCAAACTGTTTGGTGTCTCTTCTTACAAGGACACTAATCTTACTGAATCGAGGCCCCATCCTTATGATCCCAGTTAACTTTAGTTACTTCTGTAGAGGTCTCATCTCCAAATATAGCTACCTTTGGGGTTAGGGCTTCAACATAGGAATTTGGGAGGGGCCCAAACATTCAGTCCATAACCCCATTGTATCCTCAGTACCTACAGTTGCTTACCATATAGGAGGTGCCTGATAAATAACTGAATTACTGAGTGATTTTTCTAATGCATTACTTTTAATGGTTGCATGGTTTAGTATTTTCACTATATGTGTGATTTTTTTTTACTTAGCCACCTCTCTGATGTGCTGTGATGACCATCCCTATAAACTAATCTTTAGGTAAATTTAATCAATTAATCTGTGATTAAAATAAAAGATTTTAGAATAATAGTGACAGTCAACTTTGCATAGTCTTAAAGAGCATGGATTATGGACCCCGTACTGAGTATGAATCTAAGCCCCACCCCTGGAGGAAGTTTATTTATCCTCGCTGTGCTTTGGTTTATATTCCATATACAAGAGGGATAATAATAATGTCGTCTCTTACTGATACTGTGAGACTAAATGAATTATTATTTGTGATGCTCTTGGTAGCTGGCATGTAATAAGTTCTAAATAAGTGTTTATTAAATTTAAAAAAATAGAAGGATGCAAATTTTAAAGTGACAGTAACACATCTGGTAAAAATTGGAGAACTTCCATTGAGTACTGATGGAAATATAAATTGTTATAGCCACTTTGGCAGACTGTTATTCACTGGCAGGTTAATAAAATATCGGAATCAACTACTTTGAGGGAGATAATGCCATTTGAGACCCCAAAGTGATACGAGAAGATAGCTAATTTGATACCTTTCTTGTTTGGGGCTGATTAGTATCAGCTTCTTAGAGGTGGCATGCTATAAGTAAAAATTTTAATTTTAAGCTCTTTCCAGTTTTGATTCTTTCATTTGAATTCCTACTCCCAGTAGATTCTCTCCTGCCTAAATGATTAGCGTATTGGTTCCCAAACTTTACTGCACACTGGAGTCATTTGGAAATCAGTTCTGATTCCTGGCTCCCACCCGTAGACATTCTGTTATAATTCTCTTGTATGGGGTATCACCTGGGTATTGGGATTATTTTAAACCCCTGGGTGGTTTTAATGTGTAGCAAAGTTTTGAGACCACCTGGTTAGTGGAATTTTCAAGTGGGCTTTGTTATCTCAGAAGACATCCTTCCTTTTACCCTTGGTGGAGACAGCTGATGTTCTTCTCCTGGGAGACTGCAGTGGAGCTGGGGGGTAAGGGGAGAGAAGGGGAGTAGGGCAGGACAGAGCGAAGATAAGCTAGGAGGCCTCTGCAGGTGGAGACTTAACCAGTATCAGAGTCAGGTGATGTGACCACATACCACAACTCAGAATGCCTGTCAGAATGGCATGTGCCAGGGGGTTGACTATGATTTACCAGAGCACTATTTTTGCATTGTTTAATTATCAGTGAAATTGAAAGGCTGTGCTAGACATGCTTTGGTTATGAGATACAGTTGCTACAAATTTAAACTCTGGTTGATTTTCACCAGTTAAATCATGCGGTAAAACAGTATTTCAATACAATTAAAATCAGGCACTTTAAATGGTTATTCTTATAGGCAAAGATAGAGACTATTAACATTTTTCAAGGTAGACACAGATCAATTTGATTTATGTAGTTTTTATAATCTTGCATAAAATAGAGGCAAATAAATACTGTTGATGACTTAGAATTTGAGGCTTTAATTTTGTCGGTTCCTATTGAATATCCTAAGTCTAGACCAGTGCTATACAATAAAAATATGAAAGCTATAAATATAATTTAAAATTTTCTTATAACAACATTTTAAAAGGTAAAAAGAAACAAGTGAGATTAATTTTAATAATGTATTTTATTAACCCAATATACCAAAAATACTATTTTAACATGTAATCAGTATAAAAATTTACTGATGAGATAGTTCATATTCTCCCTCTCTCTTCTTTCTTTCCCTTTCTCTCTTTTTCTAAGAGATAGTGTCTTGCTCTGTCACCCAGACTGGAGTACAGTGTCACAGTCATAAATAACTCACTGTAACCTCAAACTCCTGGGTACAAGTGATCCTCCTGCCTCAGTCCCCTGCGTAGCTGGGACTACAGGTGCTCACCACAGTGCCCCACTCACTAATTTTTAAATTTTTTGTAGAGACAGGGTCTCGCTTTTTTGCCCAGACTGGTCTCAACTCCTGGCTTCAAGTGATTCTCTGTCCTCGGCCTTCCAAAATGCTGGCGTGGCATTACAGGCATGAGTCTTTCTCTTTTTGTACCAAGTCTTCAAAGTCATGGATGTTCTTTAAGCCACCCAGTCTATGGTATTTTGTTATGGCAGCCCACACAGACTAATACAACTGGTAAGACGACCAAAGTCCTCACCAAGATTGTACTCTAGGGTAGATGGCCAATAAAGAGATAAATAAGCAAATGGTTTATTTCAATGGTTTTTATTATATTTACAAAATTGTACAGCCATCACTATAATTTAATTTTAGCATACTTGTGTCACTGCAAAAAGAAACCCTAGACCTATTAAGCAATCATTTTCTATATAGATTTTCTATATAGATGGTCCCTGACTTAACAATGGTTTAACTTAGGATTCTTCAACTTCATGATGGCAAAAAAGTAATATGCATTTAATAGAAACTGTACTTTGAATTTTGAGTTTTGGTTTTTTCCCAGGCTACTGATAATGCCATATGATCTTCTCTCACTATGCTGGGCAGTGGCAACAAGCTATAGCTCCCAGTCAGCCACATGATCACAAGGGCAACCAACTGAAACTCTGCAAGATGGTTTTTGCCCAACTATAGGCTAATATAAGTGTTCTATAACACGTTTAAGGTAGGTTAGGATAAGCTATGCTGTTTGGTAGGTTAGATGAATTAAATGCATCTTTGACTTACTGTATTTTCAACTTCAGATGGGTTTATTGGGAGGTAAACTCCACTGTAAGTTGAGGAACGTCAGTGCCTCCCTTTCTTTTCCAACAGCCTCCTACCCCCCACCCCATCCAGCCTTTGGCAACTATTAATCTGCTTTCTCTCTCTAGATTTGTCTATTCTTGACTCTTCATGTAAGTTGCATATTACAATATGTGGTCTTTTGTGACTAGCTTCTTTCACTTAACATCATGTTTTCAAAGGTTCATCTGTGTAGAGATCACTTTTGCCTGGAATTTTGAACGTGACTAGAGTTCTACGGGATATTTCCACGATGAACTTAGTTAAATCCCTATATAGAAAAATAATTGCCATGCTGTTGGTGTTGATTTTTGTGTAGCCAGTGTTAGAATTGTGTTTGGCTCAGAATGTACACATGGAATTAAAATCTTAATGGAGGCAGAGGAATCATGTTCTAACATTGTTACTTACCTAGTAAATAAGCTTTCTTGTAGGAGAAATACACAAGGAGTTACTTAATTATAAGAATAAAGTTAATATTTTTAACATTTTTCCTTAAGGACCAGAGTAATGTGGAGAAGCACGCAGATGGAATGATAGTAAGTTTAATCTAATCTTTTTGTTTCCCTTTACTTCTGCAGAGCATTATAACCAGTCATATCAGGAGAAGCCTGAATTACTACTCATTTTTCAATGCCAACTACTCACTGCTTTTTGTTGTTGACTCTCGCAATTTCCTTTAAGCTCACATCTTTCAGCAATCATTTGCAGGGGAAATGACAGTCTTAAAATTTTTCTAAGTGTGGGTTCAGATTGAATCACTTTGCATGTATTAACTTGAAGGGTTAATCATGGTATGAATACTCAGCTTTTTCAATTAAATAATGCATAACTCAGTGCCACATTTCTTGTCTAATTTCTTTTTTTCTCAGATGAAAGTGAGGTTGGGGGGGAGTACAGTAGTGAAACACACCTTAATCTATTTGAATATGTTTATAGGTTCCTATTATTTTATCTTTTATTTTTAGTTTTTGTGTGTGTGTGTTAACCATCATTGTTAATGTGATATGTACTGCATTTTTGTTGGAACAATTTACAACATGAATTCTTTCTCTTATAGCCATCTTCTTACTCTTTCCTCTCTCTTATCTTTTTACCTTTTCCTTATATTCAACTTCCCCTCTAAAAAGAAGGAAGAAAATTGTATTGTTAGTATTTCCCAGCTGGAAATAAAAGAGTTTGAAGGTTTGTGGTTTGTGATTACCCTAGTTTTATGGTAACTGAGTGACCTCTGTTCAGTCTGTATTCCTGAAGCAGGAGGCAGCATTTTTTTTTTTTTTTTTTTTTTCCTAGACTTACAAACGCCAGCTTGTCTGAGATCTGGAAAAACATTCTGTACATTTTCAAAAACATCTCATGATTGTACTTGAAAGGATGAGTATGTTATCTTTATATTTGGTTTTAAAACAATTTTAAGTTAAATCTGTGTTTGCATATTTCTTAAGAAAGCAGGAGTAAAGGCCGGGCGCGGTGGCTCACGCCTGTAATCCCAGCACTTTGGGAGGCCGAGGCGGGCGGATCACAAAGTCAGGAGATCGAGACCACGGTGAAACCCCGTCTCTACTAAAAATACAAAAAATTAGCCGGGCGCGGTGGCGGGCGCCTGTAGTCCCAGCTACTCGGGAGGCTGAGGCAGGAGAATCGCTTGAATCCGGGAGGCGGAGAGAGGAGATTATGCCCCGCCCCTCCAGCCTGGGAACAGCGGAAGACCCGGTCTCAAAAAAAAAAAAAAAAAAAAAGAAAGCAGGAGTAAAACAAACATGTTTGGAATTTGAATTAAATACATCAGAATTTTTGTCAGTTCAAAGTATGATCCATGGTGATATAATACAGTTGTATGATATAAATGTAATACAAAGTGAAATATTTCTTCCGGAGATACTGTTGAAGATTGTTAGCCTCATGGGAAAGGACTCTATGTATTGTCTAGCATTATATGGTCCCCAAAGACTCCAAAGGAAAACCTTGTTGGCTGTTATTTTTATCTCTTTTCCCTCAAAGCCAAATTAGTTATATTATGTTGAATAAAAGAGGCAGGATTTTATAAAACATACCAAAAACACTTGATAATTTGCAATGAAAAACATCTAGAAAGTTCATGCTCATAGAAAATTTAAACTCATAGAAAAATATCTTTGAATCATTTGCCCAGGGACTAGAGCATATTTTCCTTAAGAATTTTTAGTTTGAAAAAATAGAGGAACTGTTCATGGAATAGGCCTTAGAGGCAGGCTGCTTGGATTCAAATAAAACAGCCCTGCTACTCACTACCTGTGACCTTGGCAAATTACTTAACCTTTCTGAGTCTTAATGTCTTTTCCTGTAAAGAAAACTGAAAGGTTCTACCATAGAAGCGTGTTGTAAGGTACAGAACAAACACATAGTATTCAATAAATATTAGCTATACATACATGTATGTGTATGTACAATACATTGTATTACATGGGTTTCATTAATGTCACAACAGATGAGAGCTGAGTAGTAGTATTTTTGCTTCTCAAGCTCTGCACATTTATTTTTAAAGCAAGTTGTAGAATGTAATGTGACATATTTTAGCCTGAAGTTGACTGACCAAGGACTGGGGATAAGTGTAGCATCGTTATTTTTTCTATGAAAAACAACAATAACAAAAAGATCAAGTACTTTTAATATACATGCTGTCAAAAGACAAAATTACAACAAATTGAATCATAGATCGAATTGGCTTTTATTCAAGATGCATGGATTGGGTCAGCCTCCATTCTACAAAATAGAATGAGAGGTCCCACTGGGCAATGGCAAACAGTGGGTTTTGTAAGGTGAGAACTGTAACAGGAAAAAATGCTGATAACATCAGATTACTTTTAAGGGTTAAAACAGAGAGCATCTCCATATTACACTGACTCAGGTAGACTGGAATCTCCTATTTTCAGAAAAAAAAAAACTGGTCTATTTTGGGATCCACTTGCTTCCTTAGAGTTTTATGATACGGCATTTAGCAAGAGTGACTCCATTTTGGTTTGGTCTAATCTGTTGGGCCCTAGTACAAGAGTTCAATCCAAAACAGTAGCCTCCCATAATTTTTGTTTAACAGTGCAAAAAGTTTTTAAGTGTTTTCTTTGGTTGACCAGCCTAACTGTAAGAGCATTTCATCTGGAAAATAAAAGATTACATCCAAAAGATAATTCTGGTCCCTTGTTCCAAAGTTATTTTATTTCTTATTCCCTTCAGTCGGAGGGGTAAGGAGGCGTGACATATTCTTACTCCTATATATCAAAGCGTTAATGGTGGAATTTTGTCTTTGTAAAGCATTTGGAGTTATTTTCAAGAAAAGTGCTGTGTAAACAAGGAATTTATTTTAGGAACAGCTCCAGGTTTGTTGAGATACTTGTTTAGTTATTATGGCTTGGTCTGCTATCTGAAAATAGAATCAAAGTAATAACCAGAAAGCCCTTAGCACCCATATAAAACAGACTATTTTGCAGACTGGGAAACTGAGGCCCATAGAGGATCAGCGACTTAAGGATTCTAAGAAATTAAAAACTCCAGGTCTCTGTTTCTTGGCTTTTCTCAGTGCTTCAAAACATTCCCCACTTCAGTTTCTTAGTTTTTTGTTTTTTGGTTTTTTTTTTAATTATTATTGATTGTTTTGGGAGTATTTTCTCTAAGTGTCCTTCATTTTTCAGTTAAAGTATTTATGGCAGATAAACTATTGTAGTGACAAGAATCAGAATTCTTGTGTTCAAGTCACTTGATTGAAGAGACCTTATTTAATGAGTTTTAGAGATTCATGCAGAAAGAGGGCTGGGTTTTTTTGGTTTTAAATATTTTTCGTTTAACAGTTCTGAAAACAATGTGTGTGTTTGTTTTTCATATGGCCTGGAAAAAAATTTTTTTAACTTAGACATTACATGAGAATGCTACAAAAACTTTATCATTACCTCAGTTTCTATTATTAGGTGATTTTAAGTTTTTACAATTGCTTTTTTGGGCTTATTCGTTGGCAAAATCTTTCTGTTATATTTCCGTTTTAGTATCTTCTGTTATAAGCACTACTTAATATATATGTGAAGTTCAGTTTTCCAGATCAATTGAAGCTAAAGAACTTACATTTTTATTTCTTGAGTTTGCCCAGTTTAGTCTTCTAAATGGTAAATGTAAACTTTGCTGTGGCAAAGACCTTGGTTTAACATGTACACACCCACCCCCCAACCCTATCAGTAAGTTATGGAGTTTTCTTTTTAAAATGCCTTCATGCTGTCAGAATAATTTCTTGACTTAGAATCAGAGAATCCTGGACTTTTCTCCCCTCTAAAATTAACTACATGTCTGAATTTTTTTCTCCCTCTCTTCTGAATCCTCAGAAAGCAAGCCCTCTTCTCTACACTCCCCAATTAGAAGATACATCTCTTTCTCTTTAGTGACCATAAAACTAGACACACAGTCGGCCTTCTGCATCTGTGGATTCAACCAACCGTGGATTAAAACTGTTTGAGGGAAAAAAAAGTACCTCTTTGCTGAATATGTATATACTGTTTTCCTTGTCATTATTTCCTAAACAATACAGTATAATGGTGACTTATATAATACTTACATAATATTAGGTGTCATAAGTAATTTACAGATGATTTAACTTATATGGGAGGGTATATGTAGGTTGCATGCAAATATACCATATTATATCAGGGACTTGATTATCTGTTGATTTTGGTATCCTCAGGGGGCGCTTGGAACCAGTCCCCCTTGGGTACCTGAGGAGTGACTGTACTGTGTGATGGCAGCAGTATGGGATGAAAGATGAGATCCTAGTGGTGCAGGTACATTACTTGGACATTTGGTGTAACTCACCAAAAGTGAAAGAAACAGAGAAACAATATTTGTGGTGAAATATTGTGTAAGAAATTGAGAAGCACTGAATTGAATTGAGAGGTGGTTTTGACTTCCTGAAATCTCCCCACACCATTTTATAACTCCTCAGTTTTTCCATTTAGCTTTACCTTCTTCTGTGACAGATATTCATTCATTTTCTTTCCTTACTATGCTTTAAGAAACTCTTACACTTCTGTATAGGTGTTTCATTTCCTCTTTTCATTTTGATCAACATATCTGTATAGCTACCCTCAGGATTTTGCAGTCATAAATGTGGGCATTTGGGAGGGTAGCATGAGAACATTTAATTAAAAATAACTATACTGTGTTTCTTTATCTTAGAGTACTATTAATCCTGTAGATGCAATATATCAACCGAGTCCTTTGGAACCTGTGATCAGCACAATGCCTTCCCAGACTGTGTTACCTCCAGGTAATTGGGGAAAGTGTTTCATAGATTCATTAATGAGAAAAAAATAATTTGTGTGGCTGTCATAGCAGTCTTAGCTATTACTGTTTATTTTTTGTTTTCCTTGTTTTTAATAAATAAAAGGACTCAAAAAATAATACAGCCAAAAGTGAACTGGAAAAAGATGATAGTGTTTTGATATTGGGGCTTTACTGAAGTGTGATGAGAGTGGTTTTGGTATTCAAAGTGAGATAGAAAACAAACGTGGTTACTAAGATTTGGATTCACTGGTAGGACAGAATTCTATGACTCAGAATTCGTGGCTAGCAAGGAAAAAGTACTATACCTTATTCAGGATAACCCAGGGATGTTCCGTTTTGGGGTATTCTGTGTAGCTCTGAACAACACAAATGGTATGTTCATGGTAGATTTTAAGATAATGAGAAAGTGAAGGAAATTTATGATGCCTACTGATCACATGACATCTGGGTGTGATTTTTTGTTTGTTTCATTTGTTTGTTTTTTGGTATGGAGCAATAAATGCAATTTTTTTTAAACTGGCAAAGAAGGGCTCAGGGCCAATACCTAGCTATGCTGACTGATTCCTTTTGCCTTTTTGTTGTATCCAACATTTCTATGTTTTCAATGATGGCATAGTGAAGTCAGAAATTGTACTATAAAAGGGAAAATGCTTTTTAAAAATACTAGTAAGTGTGTGAAATCCTTTTGTGAGTTTTTACTCCTTAAGTGAATTAGCTTAAGCTACCTCTTGGGGCTAAAGAGGGGGAGGTACTGTTCTCCACTTCTGATTTTATGTCGTTTGAGGCTCAGAAACACATCGTCATCAGAATCATTTGTTGGTTTTACAGCGTAGTTATGCTGCAGTATTGGCCTACTGTGGCTGGTCTTTTGATATCCTGCCTAGTATCTTAGTACTTTGTAGCCTATCATCGAGTTTAAGAGGCTAGGAAGTCAAAAGGAAGGAGTAGCATGGAACTAGACTTAATGAAATAGAGTTTCAAAAATTACTCACCTTTCGGATTTTGAATCCCAGACAATTACAGTCAATAGAATGTATGTTTGGCTGTTTCTGTACCTTATTTTATATGTTCGAATCTCCTAGAACCTGTTCAGTTGTGTAAGTCAGAGCAGCGTCCATCTTCCCTCCCAGTTGGACCTGTGTTGGCTACCTTGGGACATCATCAGACTCCTACACCAAATAGTACAGGTACAGATATGCATAATTTCTTTATTTCTCGTAACTCTTTATTAACATTTGAGGTTTGTTTGTGATCTCTGATGAGGAGGGGGGAAAGTTGAAGAAATGTGTTGTATATTTCTGTTGGAGATATCTTAGTTTTAACATTACAGTTCCACACATGAAGTGGTTAGCTCTGTGTTTGAAAGAAAAGCTGCAGTAAGTATTATTTATTTATTTTTAAAATTTTTTAATTTTTATTTTTGAGACAGGGTCTCACTCTGTCACTCAGGCTGGAGTGCAGTGATACGATCAGGGTTCACTATAGTTTTGACCTCCCAGGCCTCAGTCTCCCAAGTAGCTGGGACCACAGGCACACACCACCACACTTGGCTGATTTTTTGGTTTTTGTAGAGAGGAGTCTTCCTTTGTTGCTCAGGCTGGTCTCAAACTCTTGGGCTCAAGCAGTCTTCCTGCCTCAGCCTCCCAGTGTGCTGGGATTATACAGGCATGAGGCACCATACCTGGAATAATAATAATTTAAATAAAATAAAATATTACAGTTTTGTTTTTTACCTTAACATTTGTTTGGTGATCTATGTTGACTTTCTGAAAAATTTATTCCAGCTAGACTTGCATACTTTCTTATTATGAAGCTGACACAGAAGTGCACAGAATAAAAACGGAAAGTCCTCTTTACTCTCCCCCCAGTAATTTGCATACGTGTGTGCATTTACACTTAATGTTGTGTATTTTTATTGTTTTTGTTTAAACCTAAGTTAGGTAATGTGTTTCTGTAACTTGCATTTTTCCTTTAACAAAGAACACTTAGGGCACTTTCCATGTTTGTAAAATTAGGTCTACAGCATTCTTTTTACAGCTGCCTAGGCAGGTATTGCTTGTTTTTTCCACTGATGGACATTTAAATTTTTTCCAGTGTTCTTCCACTATAAACAATACTTCAGTGATATCCTTGTACAGCACCTTTGTCATATGTGTATTTTTTTAGAAAACATTTATCAATCTTTCACCTTTTTGTCAGTTTTATAGTCAGAAAAAAGATACTTCATTTTAATTTGCATTTTTTTTTGTTTGTTTTGTTTTTTTGTTTTTGAGATGGAGTCTCACTCTGTCGTCCAGGCTGGAGTCCAGTGGCACCATCTCGACTCACTGCACCCTCCACTCCCCAGGTTCAAGCGATTCTCCTGCCTCAGCCTCCTGAGTAGCTGGGATCAAAGGCGTGCGCCACCACGCCCCCACCAGTTTTTGTACTTTTAGTAGAGACGGCATTTCACTATGTTGGCCAGGCTGGTCTCGAACTCCTGACCTCAGGTGATCTATCCGCCTTGACCTCCCAAAGTGCTGGGATTACAGGTGTGAGCCACCGCGCCCAGCCTGTGTTTTCTTAATTCGTTTAAGCTTATGGTCTTTATTTTTTCTCTGTTTTACAGGGATACTATCAGTGTTAAATACTAGATTTATTCTTCTTTTAAAATTAATTAAATACATGTTGAATAACTTGTAAAACAGAATTCAAGGATGCATCTAGCACTTTTCACACTGTTAAACCTGGAAACTAAAACCAAAACCACTCTTGAAGAAGTGGGAGATAAGCTGCTTTTGTTCATCCTCAGATTTTTTTCCCGGGTAGGATTTTTCCTATGTAATAATGAATTTTTAAAATTGTGATTTTAAAATGTGTGATTTTAAAAATTTGAATTAGTAAAAGTACTGATGCTATTACTTTGATCTTTACTATTTAACAGCATGGGCAGGTGCCTTTGAATTTTGAAAGAAAAAAAAGTAGCTCCCTTACTTGAAGCTCTTGGGAAAAGGCTGATAAGCAATTTTAATAATGAAATTGAAATATTTTGGCTGACTTCTGTATTTCCTGAGCTGTGTCACCTCTTCTTCATTTAAGAAAATAGTACTTGTTTGTTGTCATTTGTATTTTTATGTCAGAATTTTGAAACAGCCAGATTTCTAAAATTTTTCTGTTTGGAAATACATAAAACTAGCAACAGACTTTGAAAAAGTGAGAAGCTCGTCTTATGTACATTAATTTTAGTAAAAATTATTTCCAGAAGATAATCTTCTGAAAACTATTTCAGTTGAAGATATTTCAAAAATGTAACACTTTAGATAGATTAAAAGAAAATTTTAAAATTAAATTTCTGTGATTTATATCTTATTTGATTTTTCATCCTAACTTCATTTTCTCCACTTTTCTTTCCCTTCTTGCTAATACAAAAAAGAAATAAAGGAATAAGATAAAATGTTTACTCTCCTAAGTAAATCTTAGATCTTTTGTTTGCAGTTCCCACTCAAACTTATTTTCTTCTTAGGTAACATTTTCACTTGTGTGATCACCTGGAATATTTGCATGCTACTTAATCATTTGCAATTCTTGGTCAATTTTTTTTTAATTCCAATAAGAAAAAGCTGCTTTTCTCTCTTATTTTTTCTGTTCGGTAATAAAAAGAATATAAAGTTATTTACTAATAAGGTGAGCTACCTTTGGAATTTCCAAAATAAGCATTACCTTTTAGGGGTTAAACTTTTTATGTTATCTTTTTAAAATACCTTTGTGAATGTGATGACTAAATGTGGCAAACCCATGTGCTCTTTTTCATAACTATTGAACCATAGATACAGGAATGGGCAAAAAATCTGTGACTCTGGATTCTTTTTTTTTTTTTTTTTTTTTTTTTTTTGAGACAAGGTCTCACTCTGTTTACCCAGGCTGGACTGCAACAGCAGAAACACAACTCACTGCAGCCTCAACCTCCTCAGATCAAGTGATCCTGCCCCAATCTCTCGTGTAGCTGGGACCACAGGCACATGCCACCATGCCCAGCTAATTTATTTATTTGTTTTTTTAAGAGACGGGGCTCTCACTTTGTTGCCCAGGCTGGTCTTGAACTCCTGGCCTCAAGCAGTCCTCCCATCTGGTCCTCCCAAAGTGCTGGAATTACAGGCATGAGCCATTGTGCCTAGCCTGGATTCGTTTTTATTGCTGTCTTCAATTTCTTCCAGAACCGTGGCCCTGGCTTTCAAATTGCCATCAGTGTCTTAATAAACTTTAGTCTTCACTAGACATCTGTAGATTATCATAAATTGCCTGACAGCCCTTAAATGCTCAGTAAGTTAAATTGATCTTAATACTCCATTTGTTGACTGGTTTGATACTTTTCTGTTCTTGCTTTACTACTAGACAAGGTACCAGATGATCATCTCAGAGATTAGATGGCAGTCTTCTTTCTCTGGGTCTTCATTAATTTCCATTTCTTTAGTTAGACTGTTTAGGAATAGAAAAATGTTCTTCTGAATCTTTTCATTTTCTGCATTCTTGTTGTAGTAGCCCTCTATTTTTATCTCCACCTCTGACCCCTGACTTAGGTGGAAAAAAGAGAGGAATTTGGATGGTGTGTGCATTTTCCATGTGATTGCCAGAAAATATTGAATGATAGGAATGTGATATCCTGCAATATTTTAATGTTTATGTGGTCTTAATATTCTTTGCATTTTGCATTCCCAGCGGCTCACTGCTACATTTTTAGGTATCTGGATCTGCAGTGTAAAATAAGAGCCCTGGCATCCCACTGGTAATCGTATCTGTTGTGGTACTTGCAACTCCACAACTCATATAATCAGAAGGGTCCCCTTCCTAGTATTAATGATAATCTTTATAGAATGGGGACATAGCTTTTTGTTTCATTTATTTAAAAGGCTGTGTCCTCATTTTATATCATGATTTGCCATTTTCTGTGTGGAGTTTAAATGTTGATTTTCTTTATAAATAGTGTAGCAGCTTTTACAAACTTAACCAAACTCTCTCTTGATTTTAGAAAAGTCTGCTTTGACTCCATCTCCCTAGTCTCTTCTCTATCACCAACATTTTTCTCTAAAACCCTTTTAACTTCCTAGGCAGTGGCCATTCACCACCGAGTAGCAGTCTCACTTCTCCAAGCCATGTGAACTTGTCTCCAAATACAGTCCCAGAGTTCTCTTACTCCAGCAGTGAAGATGAATTTTATGATGCCGATGAATTCCATCAAAGTGGCTCATCCCCAAAGCGCTTAATAGAGTAAGTAGATGAACAGAATATGTATTTAAATGATCCTCCTTATTTTTAAAAATCTAATTTGATTTTGAGACTAGTATTAATGACAGACTTGCCTCATCAGTTATTATTTGGGAAAATTAAAAGCGCAACCTTTTTAATAGATATATTGATATCTCTATATCAATATATTGATTTTTTATTTTATTGATATATAGTATCAGTTTTTTTATTAATATATAATAGTTGTATGGACAACTTGTTTTTAGTTGGCTTGTTGAGCAAAGCCAATTCTGTGAGAGTTTTGATTTTAATCCTAAGTTACTCCAAATGGAATAAATAGCATCACCTCTAGTAATATGCCAGTGTTATTAGTTGAATCTTGGCCATTTCTGCAGTACAAACATTAGGAGAGGGTCCAATGAGAGTGAATAAGCTATGAAGCATTATACGAATAAGAGGTTTCTATTACTTTTTTTTTTTTTTTTTAATTAGAGTGGAAATATTCAATACCTATCAGCCAGGCACCGTGCTAGGTTGATAACAAGATTACAGAGACCCAGGCCCTGCCCACAGGGAACTTTTGGGGGAATAGGCAGACATTTATAATCTAATGGAATACGTAGTATGGTTTCTTAGTCCCTTTAAGCTGCCATAACAAAAGACAGTGATTTAGGTAGCTTATAAACAACAGAAATTTATTTCCTACAGTGTTATGGAGCAAAAGGGACTTGCTGCCCAATGCACTAGAAGCCATGACTAAGTCCCAGGTTTTTGAGGAAAGAAAAGCTTTTTATTGCAAGTCTACTTACAGGGAAACATAAGTCCACCTCAAATCTGTCTCTCTGCGCTGGCTTTAAGGCACTAATTTTATTTAAAAACGTTCAGGGAGGCCGGGTATGGTGGCTCATGCTTGTAATCCCAGCACTTTGGGAAGCCGAGGCGGGTGGATCACGAGGTCAGGAGTTCAAGACCAGCCTGACCAACATGGTGAAACCCTGTCTCTACTAAAAATACAAAATTAGCTGGGTGTGGTGGTGCATGCCTATAAATCCCAGCTACTCAGGAGGCTGAGGCAGGAGAATAGATTGAACATGGGAAGCAGAGGTTGCAGTGAGCTGAGATCACACCACTGCACTCCAGCCTGCATGACAGAGCAAGAGAGTCTGTCTCCAAACAACAACAAAAAGAAGTTTCGGGAGCCGGGTGTGGTGGCTTATGCCTCTAATCTCAGCAATCTGGGAGGATGAGGCGGGAGGATCAGTTGAGCCCAGGAGTTTGAGACCAGCTTGGGCAACATGGTAAAACCTTGTCTCTAAAACAATACAAAAATTAGCCAAGTGTGATGGCACATGCCTGTTGTCCCAGCTACTCGGGAGGCTGAGATGGGAGAATCGCTTGAACCCAGGAGGTGTAGGTTGTAGTGAGCCGAGATTGGGCTGCTGCATTCCAGCCTGGGTGACAAGAGTGAGACTCTGTCATAAAAAAAGAAAAAAAGTAGAATTACTGATATACTTTCATTTTACTTGTGTTTGTTGTAGATATATTAATAGTTGGCTTAGTTTTTGTTGGGAATTATTTCTAATTCTGCTTTCTCAGAGGCTGGTACTGTTACTATAGCTAGGGTTTTTGCTTTTTAAGACAGTACAAATTTGGAAATAATTAAATGTGAATTTGCAAGCTAATTACCTTCAGCCAGTCCTTAGGCCTTGAATCCTGGTTTCTTTAAATAAGAAATGTTGCATTAAGACTCCAGTTCTCTTCAGCGTGCACATGAATTGAGAAATATAGCATTTGTATTATGACTGTATCATAACTGCTCAAAATGTTAGCACATATATGGAAAATGACTATTGCTTCATGAAGTTTTTTGACTTATGATCAGTTCAGCTGTTGAATGTGGGAAAAAGTGAAATATATGTGGTCTAGGTGAATATATATGGTTAAGACGTGGAAGGGAGGTTTAAGTCTACAACTAAAGAAGACCAGTATAGCAGAAAGAGCTTAGTTTAGCATATTGATTACTTTTCTTCATTTTGAATGTTAAAACATAAACTATTAAGAAACCATTATTAGCAGTTTGCCAATAGAAATTTAATTTTGGAAAAACGTTTTTATAATAAAGGGATTAAAAGAAAATAAGCATTTGGAAGAAAATTCCAAAATTACAGGTTATTATTAATTTATGAAGGGTTCAATCATTATTGTATTTAAAAGAGAATTAAAGAGTTTTTATTTATGTATTTATTTTTTTGAGACAGAGTCTTGCTGTGTCACCCAGGCTGCAGTGCAGTGGTGCAATCTCAACTCACTGCAAGCTCTGCCTCCCGGGTTCACGCCATTCTCCTGCCTCAGCCTCCCGAATAGCTGGGACTACAGGTGCCCACCACCACGCCTGGCTAATTTTTGTATTTTTAGTAGAGACGGGGTTTCACTGTATAAGCCAGGATGGTCTCGATCTCCTGACCTCATGATCTGCCCACCTCACCCTCCCAAAGTGCTGGGATTACACGCATGAGCCACTGCACCCAGCCTTTTTTTTTTTTTTTTTGAGATGGAGTTTTGCTCTTGTAACCCAGGCTAGAGTGCAATGGTGTGATCTCGGCTCACTGCAACCTCCGCCTCCTGGGTTCAAGCGGTTCTCCTGCCTCAGCCTCCTGAGTAGCTGGGATTACAGGTGCCCACCATGCTGATCTAATTTTTATACTTTTAGTAGAAACAGGGTTTTGCCATGTTGGCCAGGCTGGTCTCGAACTCCTGACCTCAGGCTGTCCGCCCGCCTTGGCCTCCCAAAGTGCTGGGATCACAGGCATGAGCCACTGTGCCCAGCCTAAAGACAATACATTAGCTGTTGTTCTAAACAAAGTTCAATTGACTATCACTTGCTAATAAATCACTCATCTATCCATCCTTTAAAAGCATATGACTATATTCAGTAAAAACTTGATAATATGTGGTTAGCTCTTGGTAACATCACTGATAGACACTCTCTGGACCCAGTATAAGGGATTCTCCCAAAATTTCTATGAAATCAAAACATTTAAAACACTTGTTGTACCTGTAATAGGCAGGTCTACAAAGTCATGCACAGGCTCATGGGCTCCTTCTATTCCTGCTGTTAAGGTTCCTTCTGTGCTTTCCCAGTACCCTGTCCCATAATAAACACACAGTTCATTAACATCTCTTTGAACGGGTCCAGTGTTAAGTTTTTATGTCCAACTAACCCACTCTGTGTTCCTTTTCTCCCTCAATTTCATTCTTCCTTGTTTGTATACCCTAATCTAGAAGCCCAAACCAGTAAAGGCTGAAGATGTTTTATTTGGGCAGCACAGTGTTCTGTTGACTTGTTTTTTGTTTTGTTTTAACAAGGCTTTAAGATCCTTTCAGGTTGAGTATGCTGGCTCCCCAGTTCCGTATTATCTTATGTCTTGGTCCTGTCCACATATTCTCTGCCTGGCGTCTGTAGGTTTTCAAGCTTGTGACACCTGCTGGTCTTCAGCTGCTACTGCTAATTTTCTAACTCTGAGGTCAAATTTCTTTTTACTATTTTTTGTTTGTTTTTTTCTTTCTGAAGGAAGAGAACTTGAAAGCTTAAGTCCTTTCACTGTTCTTTTTCTAAAGACCTATACTAGTGATAGCTTCTGTGTAACTATGTCACTGAGCAGTGTAGCTTACGCATTTATAAATTAGATAAAAGTACATGTTGGAAAGAACATGTACTTTGGAGCCAGAAGTGTTTGAAATGGCTCCACTACTCACCAGCTGTATGACTTCAGGCCTGTCATTGAACCTCTGAGCATCTGTGTATTATGAGCGTCATTGTGTTTATTTTAGGGTCGTAATGTAGATATAGACATACTGTGTATGGCACATACAAGGTACTCAATAAATTGATATTGTAATTCATAGCTTTAAATTGTTTTTGCATACTTTATGATTTTATACATAAATTCTAGACAATTAGCCCATTGAAGATAAAACTTTCCTGTATACATAGATGTCGTTTTTAACTGTTTTCTTTATATCATTTGTTCTGAACAAGGTAAACTATGAAATGGCTAAAAATTTATCCCATTTTTTTTCCATTTACAGTCTTACTGAGTATTTCACTTGGCCCAGACATGGTTTCTAACCATGGGTAAGGAGAAAAAACACAGCATAAATAGGACCTTTGGAATTGCATCTAAAATAAGATTCATATATTATAGCATTTGGGGTTTTTAGGTCAGTTGATTTAAAAGATTGACTCTATTTTGAGATACATCACAGAGGCACAAAACATTTTAAAGATAACTTTCATGCCTTTTTTTTTTTTTTTCTTTGAGACAGAGGGTCTCACTCTATCACTCAGGCTAGAGTGCGTTGGCACAAACACAGCTCACTATAGCCTCAACCTCATGGACTCAAGTGATCCTCCCCCATCAGACTCCCCAGTAGCTGGAACCACATGCACTCACCACCATGCCCAGCTATTTTTTTTTTTTTTTTCTTTTTTTGAGACAGAATCTCACTCTGTCGCCCAAGCTGGAGCTGGAGTGCAGAGGTGTGATCTCAGCTCATTGCAACCTCCACCTCCCAGGTTCAAACGATTCTCATTTCTCAGTCTCCCAAGTAGCTGGGACTACATACACATGCCACCATGCTCGGCTAATTTTTTGTATTTTTAGTAGAGATGGGGCTTCACCATGTTAATGAGGCTGGTCTTGAACTCCTCACCTCAAGTGATCTGCCCACCTTGGCTTTTCAAAGTGCTGGGATTACAAGCCTGAGCCACCACACCCAGCCTAATTTTTTTATTTTTTGTAGAGATAGGGTCTCACCATGTTAGGCTAGACTCAAACTCCTGGGCTCAAGTGATCCTCCCGCCTTGGCCTCCCAAAGTGTTGGAATTACAGGCGTGAGCCACCATGCTTGACCCCAGTTCTGTCATTTAATGATTATTTGATTTCTCTTACCTACGTCTTTTAGACATATTTTCCACTGCCTCTCAAAACTGGTGAGGCGGACATTAGTCATAGTACCTTGTGATCTATACTACTAAATTATCAAAGAAGTAATACTTAGTTACTCAAGGAATTTTGAAAAATAGGTAAGTAACCAGGACAAATTAGAATACATAATATATTCTAATTTTAGAATATCCTAATATTCTAGCGTTCTAATACAGGCAGAGCCCAGAGGATTTTTAGAGCAGTGAAACTATTCTGTGTGATACAGTGATGGATACATGTTGTCATATATTTATCAAGACCCACAGAACAGGCAACTCCAAGAGTGAACCCTAATATAAACTATAGACTTTGAGTGATAATGATGTGTCAGTATAGTCTCATTGGTTGTAAGAAATATACCTCTCTGGTATGGGATGTTGATCGTGAGGGAGGTTTGCATGTATAGGGACAGGGAGTATATGCATGCTGTCTGTACTTTCTGTTCAGTTTTGCCGTGAACCTAAAACTGCTCTAAAAATAAAGTTTATTAATTTAAAAAAAACAGAAGGTAACAAGGGCAAACTATGATTAGATTAGAATACATAATATGCTTTCACACCTGTAGAGTTGTGATACGACTGTTATATGTGTACTGTTTTATAAATATCTAAAGTGTGAGAAATTTGATTTCAATTTTTACATTTAATAAGTAAATTATGTGCCTTTTTTATTTTTCCTTTATTTATATACAAATACCAACTGGGTGTGGTGGCTCACACCTGTAAACCCAGTGACTTGGGTGGCTGAGGTGGGAAGATCACTTGAGGTCAGGAGTTCACGTCCATCCTGGGCAACATAGGGAGACCTTATCTCTTAAGAAAAATATAAATATGTGCGCGCACACACACAAACACACACACACACACACTCTTACTTCCGTGGGTAAAATATGATCACAGGTATGATAATCTATTAATAATAGAACAGTCTTTCTTTAGACCTGTTAACTGGCTCATAAAAGCCAGTTAGCATAAATTTACTTGCATAAATAAGATGCTTTTTTATTTTCTAATTTCAAATACAATTTTTTAATGATTAGGAAGAATGTTAATACCAATGTGGGCCTTTATCAAAGGATCTCAAACATAAAGACAAGGCATATTTCTGAGACTTGCCGTTTTTGAGTTTCTGGAATTGTTGCCAAGAATTGTGACACATTTAGATTTATATCCAGTAACAAAATCAGAAAATGAACTGTAGTTTTAAACTTAAATGCAGAGGCAAAGATCTCACTAATTTTTGATGACCTCTGGGTCTTAACTATCAACATGGCATTGTTGAGCATGTCCTATGCATAAAGGATAAGACAAGAGACCTTGTCATCAAGAGAATTTGAAAGCGTATATATGCATGCATGTAACCAGTTAACTGTAAGAGTCTAGCTTACTATGATTCTAAATTGCTTTCTTTAGCTTAAATAAGGTGATTAATGTTTTTTTAGTTCTTCTGGATCTGCCTCGGTCCTGACACACAGCAGCTCGGGAAATAGTCTGAAACGCCCAGATACCACAGAATCACTTAATTCTTCCATGTCCAATGGAACAAGTGATGCTGGTGAGTGACCTTTGATAATTTAACTTTTTTTTTCTTTAAAAATATTTGTAGCCGGGCGTGGTGGCTCATGTCTATAATCCCAGCACTTTGGGAGACCGAGGTGGGCGGATCACTTGAGGTCCGGAGTTCAAGACCAGCCTGACCAACATGGTGAAACCCTGTCTTTACTCAAAATATACAAAAAATTAGCTGGGTGTAGTGGCGCGTGCCTGTAATCCCAGCTACCAAGGAGGCTGAGGCAGGAGAATCGCTTGAACCTGGGAGATGGAGGTTTGCAGTGAGCCGAGATCATGCCATTGCACTCCAGTCTGGGCGACAGAGTGAGACCCCATCTCAAAAAAAAAAAAAAATTGTAATTCTAGTATCAGCACAGATTGGCCCAATTTAGCACCATTCTAATAAGATGTGCTTTATTTTAGACCTTTTCGATTCACATGATGACAGAGATGATGATGCAGAGGCAGGGTCTGTGGAGGAGCACAAAAGTGTTATCATGCATCTTTTGTCACAGGTTAGGCTTGGAATGGATCTTACTAAGGTAAGACCAAATTTGCTGTAAGTCTGTATGAGTATGTATGGATTCTCAGTGATTGTGTGGTGAGTGTGCCTGCAAATGTAGTAAAATGACATAATTTTTGTTTATACTTGTCTTCTTGTGATTTAATATACATGTGGATAAGTAAACAAAATTTTATAAATGATGAAATAAGTCAAGCTAGGATAATTTCATAGAGAACAGTGTGTATGAGTTCTATGGATTAAGACTTGGTAGAGTTCTAATCTTAGGGTCAGAGGATCTGTGTTTTCGTTCTACCTCTACTATTAGCAAACCATGCACGGGCTTCAGTGAGTTTCTTCTTCTGTTTCTTCCTCTGTGGACTTCAGGGTTCTCTATGCAAATTGGACACATAGTAACCTGTTTCAGAGGGTTGTAAGGATTGGAAGAGATTGTGAATGTAAAATTGTGACATATTTGTGACCTCCATCTCCCAGGTTCAAGCGATTCTCCTGCCTCAGTCTCCTTGGTAGCTGGGATTACAGGCATGCAAAATGACACATACTGAGTCATGCACAATTACCATAGTCTCGATTTGACTTTGATTTTAAACTTGGAGCTCTCAATAGAATGCACGCTTGAATTAGGAGACTGGTATATGGTTGCCTTTGTATATTCCTGCCACTGTGCCAGAAACCCCCTCCTTTCACTTAATTCTCACCACAGTTCCGCAGAGTAGGCGTTACTGTTAACTTCATTTCATCAGGAAACTAAAACTCAGAGGTTAAATAATGTGGCTGAGTCATGTTAAGTCATATTAAGTGGCAGACTGAGATTCTAATCTGCTCCATGATTTTAAAACCTGTAATCTTTCCACTACCGCCTTTGTCTTGAAGGCTTGAACTTTAGTAGCTTTCATATTTATTATTGTTCTGCCAAGCTTTGGGAGTTGATTAAATTTAGGGTTCTCACTTTTGTTAGGGCGAAATCAACTCCAGTGCTATAGTCTTCGTCAGTAGTGAACTCCTTTTTGTTTTGGATTTAGAGGGCCATTAAGAAAAAGACTAATTCATAATACCTTCAAATAAGTGTCTATAATAAAACCTTTTACTCCTAATCTAAGTGAGAACAGAAACACAAGGACAACATTTATTTTGGAGCCCAGCACACTTACTAGGAATGTTCTAGGCAGAAGAATATTTGCAGGAGTTTGTCCCCAGAATTGCTTCAGTAATCATTAGATTGCACAGCTGCTGCCTTTTTGTTGTTGTTGTTGTTGTTAGGAAGGACATTCTTTTCCAGAAGTGGCTCGTTAAGCTTCCTGTTGAATCTCATTGGCCAGTATCAGGCATATGCTCATGCCTAAACCTGCCACTGGCAAGGGGGAGGTTAAATGATTGGTTTAAATGAATCTACATTCACCCCTTGAGACGTGGGAGAGGGCCATGGCAGCCCATAGCTGAACCTGAACTGAATCAGAGTTCTTGGGGGTGAAGCATGGATGTGGAGAGGCAACCGGATGTGTTTGCCACAATCAAGTTTGTAATTCTTGCCTCACATAATTTTCTCTGCCAAATAATCCATATTTGAGTCCATAGCTGCTAAAAGTTTATTTTATGACTATTATCATAATTATTTTTTGCTGAATGTGTTTAAAATAAGTCATTTTCAAAATTTGTATTGGCACAAATGGCTGTGATTGCCAACAGATTCTGAAATATTGGTTCCTTTTATGCATTCCAAAGTATTATTACAATAATGCCTTAAGTTTATGTCTTTTATAAGAATGTTTTCTCACTTCAGATACTTTCTGAAAAGAGTTTGTTTTCCAAATACGTTGTAGTTTTAAAAAATACTACACAGTCACGTCCCATTTAACCTCACTTAGTCTTTAAAACAATCCTAACATATAAGCAGCACATGTAATTATCTTCCTTTTCAGGTACTTAGAGAAACTGAGTTAATTTTTCAGGGCTTCCTCACAGCTACGAAGAGGCTAAACAAGTGCTTGAACCCAGGTTGAAGACAACTAAACCCAGCTCTCTTCATCACTGTTACAGCAGTTTGACTTAATAGCATTTATCAGTATAGCACTACAAATATTGAAGAAAATCTGTTAAATAAGAGTTCTCAGAAAAATCCTAAGTAGAAGAAAAAAATATTTATGTTTTCTTCAATTACATGTGAAATTAAACTTTTTAAAAATGTTTTTTGGCTGTTCAGTCCCTTTGTCCATTTATCTCCTGGAGTAGTGATCTTCATCTTGAGTTGTAAGAGCTGTTTATACATTGAAGGTATTTACCCGTTTTCTTCTTCAGCATTTTTACTCGGTGGTTTATAATTTCTGTGTACTAAGTCAGCATATAAGCTTACCTGCTAATCTAACCCTATTTGGATTATGAATTTACGTGTTCTGTGGAAGAAAAATGTTTACCTAAAATTTAAATGCTGAGAGTCTGATAATAGAGATTCTAAGTGTTAGAGTCTTAGTGTCCCTTTCCAAGCTTGTGTTCATCAGCCCACTTTATATTTTCATTATATGTCCAGCCACACTGGTTCACTGATGAATCCCTGTCACACCCCTTTTCCTAGCCTTTCCTTGTCTTTTTTTTTTTTTCTTCTCTCGTCTCCATGTCTTGTTCTTTTATCACAGCCTTCCTCTTCTCTAGGCTTTATTCTCTAGTGCCATCTCAATAAATTGTTTCCCAGCTCTGCCCTAATTCTGGTCCCCCAAACAGAACATGATCTTTCCTTGAACTGAACTTCCCAAGTGCTTAGGATATTTCTTGTATGATGTTTGTCACATTCCACCTACAGTTTAAATGCTCTTGTTATTCTCTCATACTTAACCTTTGTCTCCACCATAGCTTGCTTGCATTTATTTATTTATTTAGAGACGGAGTCTTGCTCTGTTGCCCAGGCTGGAGTGCTACTTATTTATTTATTTATTTAGAGACGGAGTCTTGCTCTGTCACCAAGCCTAGAGTATAGTAGTGCAATCTTGGCTTACAGCAACCTCCGCCTCCTGGGTTCAAGTGATTCTCCTGCCTCAGCCTCCCAAGTAGCTGGGACTACAGGCGTGCACCACCACACTCAGCTAATTTTTGTATTTTTAGTAGAGATGGGGTTTCACTGTGTTGGCCAGGCTGGTCTCAGACTCCTGACTTCAGGTGATCCACCCACGTTAGCCTCCCAAAGTGCTGGGATTATAGACACAAGCCACTGTGCCCAGCCTCCACCATAGCTTTTAACACAGGACCTTGAATGTGGTGGATATGTAGTTACTACTAAATGTAAAGAAATTTTTGCTCACTCTGGGGTGTTCTACTTCGTAATGAGTAATTGATAATCTGATACTCATTTCAAAAACTCTTCTTCCATTCCCATTCTCTAATGAAATTCTTCTCTTTTTTTATTGGTTAATCCTCATCTTTCTCATGTCTTCCCGTATTCCAGTTTGTCGGTTCCCAGTCTGTATTCTCTTCTTCCTTTTGTTTATTCCTTTAACTGCTCATTTAAAAGTGTCTTACTGTGTAAATAGTAGTGACAGCACAAGTGTGAATAAAAACTTAATTCTTGGATTGTAGGTGCTCATCATATATTTCCTATACACTTGTCTAATGATGATAGAGCAACAGCAGTAGAGAGGAAAGTGCACACACACCCCAAACTGAGATCCGGTTTTGAATTCCACATTAATAATAGGACAATGAGAAAATCTCTCACCCTCTGAGCTTCATATTTCTTCACTGTAATGATTTGTTCATCATTGGGCTAATAATTTCTTCATCATAGGGCTACTGTGAGATAATGTGTATGTAATATACAAATAATAAAATAATGTATATGTAATGTCCAGCAGATAGGAGGCATCAAAGGATTCCTCTGAGTGAGTTTGTTGAGTAGTTTGTTGCTGTTACTATACTTAGGGAGAAAAAGGAAGTTGCACAGAGGAAGTGACATTTGAACATTCAAAAACCCCTTCTCTGTTTTTGATCTGCTGGGCAGTTTAATGGTCATTTCTGAATCTGACAGGTTAAGAATAAGTTTTTGGAGCATGCCTGGGCAATATGTGGTGGATGTTACCATGATTTGAATGAGGTGGTGTTTTGTTTTGTTTTCTTTTTTTTTTTTTTTAATCTGTTTATCTGAAGAGAAATTTGATCTTCAAGGGTCAAATGTGTATGTTTTTCAGGTAGTTCTTCCAACGTTTATTCTTGAAAGAAGATCTCTTTTAGAAATGTATGCAGACTTTTTTGCACATCCGGACCTGTTTGTGAGGTATTTGACTGTACATGGTAGTTTCCAACTTTTACAGATGTTACTCAGCAGCTTTCTGCCTTCTTTTTTTTTTTTTTGCAGGATAGATTGATTCCTTGTCACCTTTCAAACATTTCTGGGTATTCTGTGGTATTGAATAATGTGTTTACACTGGATGCCTATCTGTTTGCTTAAGTTATATGGTGGTGATGTTGTTAGGCAACCAAGTTTAACACTTTAAAAAATTCTCAAGAGCCCATTAATAGGTAGCCAATATTTACAAGGCCAATGGTATAAGTGTATTTAATCCAGGCACTGGCAATCACTGTCAAATTATTTGTACTGTATCTTAATGAAGTTTAATTTTCTGAGTTCAGCAAACCTTTCTAAAGCACCCGTTGTTTGCTATGCACTTTCTTATGAGTTGGAGAAAGGAAAAGTCAGTGCCTGCCCTCGAGCTTACAATATAGCATCCAAATTATAGATGATTTATACATTTTAAATATAAAGTTTGCAATATTATATATGCATATATGTATGAGATAGAAGTAATGTAAAGGTGAAATTGATTTACAAGGAGGTGAGTTCACATTGCCTTTCTCTGGTAGCAGGAAATTTTTTTGTAATAGGGAATGTTGTTAGTTCGTCTTCTCTGCATTCCTTAGTCTCAGACTGTGGTTTACGGAAGCCAGATACATATCACTGAAGTGTCTTGCTGGGTGGATACATTGGCTGACATTGATATATATTTTTTTTTCTTGATGAACATTTAAAAGAATAACCAATTCCCAAAAGGCAGAAATTTAAATAAATATGGCACTGTTTAACAGATAATTTAAGAAGTAAAATTTAAGCATTTATTAGTAACATGTGTAAGTAAAAATGGAACATACCAGTTGTTCACTGGGTATAGATTTGAGATTTAAGGGTAGTTTTTATGTGTGAGAATTTAAATTTTGAGGCCCCCAGAACTATTTACAAGCCAAGTACAGTGGCTCATGCCTGTAATCCCAGCACTTTGAGAGGCCAGAGTAGAAGGATTGCTTGAAGCTAGGAGTTTGAGACCAGCCTTGACAACATAGCACAACCCTGTCCCTACAAAAAAAATTTTTTTTTAATAATAATAATAAGCCAGGCATGGTGGTGTGCACCTGTAGTTCCAGCTACTTGGGAGGCTAAGACAAGGAGGGTCATGCAGTCCCAGGAATTTGAGGCTGCAGTGAGCTATAATCACACCATTACAGCTTGGGTGACAGAGCAAGACACTGTCTTTAAAAAAAAAAAAAAAAAAGTACAGTTCAAAAGCCAATAGATTAAACGGAATCGTACAAATACTCCATTAATTCTAAGAAAGGAGAAATAATAGAACAGGGAACAAAGGGGACATGTGGAAAACCTATCAAGATGGTAGAGTTAATCCCAACTATATCAACAGTTATACTAAATGTAAATAGAATACACATTCCATTTAATGTCAGACTGGATTTAAAAAGCAGGATTTATCTATATGATATTTTCGGGAGAGAAACTTTAAAGATGCTGGTTAAAAGTAAAAGGATGGACAGTGATATCTATGCAAAACACTAAGCATAGCAAAACTGGTGTAGCTGTATAAGTATCAAAGGAAACTTTTAAGACAAGAAATATTAGAGACAAATAGGAATATTTTGTAATGATAAGAGCATCTATTTATCAAGAATAAATAATACTACTAAATATATATGTACCTAATAACACAGCTTTAAAATACATGCAGCAACAAAAATTGACTAAAAAGAGAAATAGCCAGGTCCACAAATTCATCCCTCAGTGTCTGATGAAGCAAGTAGCCTCTGCCTTCACCACCTCCCTGCCCCTCCCAAAAAATCAGGAAGGCTATAGAAGATTTAAACTGCATTATCAAATCAACTTGACCCAATTGGCCTTTCCAAACACTGCCTAACAATTGTATAACACATAGTCTTTTCTAGGTGCATGTGAAATATTCATCAAGATAGAACATATACAGGGAAGTCAATAAATTTAAAATAATTGGAATCATACAAGGTGTATATTCTACACCCATGAATTAAATTAGTAATTGATAACATAGAGAAAATCTCCAATTATTTGACAATTAAGCAATGCACTTACATGGACTTAATCTATGATACTAGAAACCAGAAGCAGTGTTTGCCTCGGAGTAAGTAAGATGTGGTGATTGTTTGGAAAGGGAGATATGGAAACTTTCCGGATTAATGGAAATATTCTGTTTTTTGATTAAGTGATGATTAATTAAAAGATATATACATTTGTCAACTCCTCAAGCAAAACACTAAGACCAAGGCACATAGACCAATGGAACAAAATAGAGAACCCAGAAATAAAGCAAAATACAGCCAATTGTCTTTGACAAAGCAAACAAAAACATAAAGTGGGAAAAGGACACCCTTCTCAACAAATGGTGCTGGGATAACTGGCAAGCCACATGTGGAAGAATGAAATTGGATCCACATCACTCACCTACCTTATACAAAAATCAACTCAACATATATCGGAGACTTAAATCTAAGACCTAAAACCATAAAAATTCTGGAAGATAACATGGGAAAAACTCTTCTGGACATTGGCCTAGGCAAAGACTTCATGACCGATAATCCAAAAGTGAATGCAACAGAGATAAATAGATGGAACTTAGTCAAATTAAAAAGTTTCTGCGCAGCAAAAGAAATAACAGAGTAAACAGACAACCCAGAGAGTAGGAGAAAATATTTGCAAACTGTGCGTCCGGCAAAGGACTAATACCCAGAATCTACAAGGAACTCAAATGGATCAGCAAGGAAAAATAAAAACAGTCCCATCAAAAAGTGGGCTAAGGACATGAATAGACAATTATCAAAAGAAGATGATGATAATAAGACAAATGGTTGACTGGGCGTGGTGGCTTACACCTGTAATCCCAGCACTTTGGGAGGCTGAGGTGGGCAGATCACGAGGTCAGGAGATCGAGACTAGCCTGGCTAACACAGTGAAACCCTGTCGCTACTAGAAATACAAAAAAATTAGCTGGGTGTGGTGGTGGATGCCTATAGTCCCAGCTACTGGGGAGGCTGAGGCAGAAGAATGGCGTGAACCTGGGAGGCAGAGCTTGCAATGAGCTGAGATCGCGCCACTGCACTCCAGCCTGGGTGACAGAGCGAGACTCCGTCTCAAAAAAAAAAAAAAAAACGTGGCCAACAAACATGAAAAAATGCCCAACATCACTAATTATCAGGGAAATGCAAATCAAAACCACAATGCTATTAATACCACCTTACTCCTGCAAAAATGGCCATATTCAAAAAATCAAAAAATAATAGATGTGATGTGGATATGGTGAAAAGGGGACACTTTTACACTGCTGGTGCGAATGTAAACTACTACAACCATTATGGAAAATAGAATGGCGATGCCTTAAAGAACTGAAAGTAGATCCACCATTAGATTAATCAGTCCCACTCCTGGGTATCTACTCAGAGGAAAAGAAGTCATTATATGAAAAAGACACTTGCACACACATGTTTATAGCAGCACAATTTGCAATTGCAAAAATATGCGACTAGCCCAAAGGCCCATCAGTCAGCAAGCAAATAAAGAAAATGTGGCATATATATACATGGAATGCTACTCAGCCATAAAAAGGAATGAAATAGTGGCATTCACAGCAACCTAGATAGAGCTGGAAACCATTATTCTAAGTGAAGAAACTTGGGAATGAAAAACCAAGCTGATGGCGAGCACCTGTAATCCCAGCTACTCGGGAAGCTGAGGCAGAGAATTGCTTGAACCTGGGAGGCAGAGGTTGCAGTGAGCCGAGATCACACCACTGCACTCCAGGCTGGGCGACAGAGTGAGACTCCATCTCAAAAAAAAAAAAAAAAAAAAGAATGATACAGTGGACTTTGGGGTTTCAAGGGGAAGGGTGGAAGGGGTGTGAAGGATAAAAGACTACACATTGGAAATAGTGTGTACTGCTCGGGTGATGGGTGCACCAAAATCTCAGAAATCACCACTGAAGAAGTTATCCATGTAACCAAACACACCACCTGTTCTCCAAAAACCTGTTGAAATTTTAAAAAAAAGTTAAAAAAACCACTAAGACCAATGCATTTAATTATATATATATTTTATACCTCAATTTTAAAACGAAACTTTAAGCTAACTCCTGGTCCTAGGTCCTCAGCCCTCTCAGTCGGACTTAGGTGGACCATGCTGGGGATTGTTATATCATCTTGTCTTCTACCAAAAAGCAGGATGTTAAATTTTGTCTTTCTCCATTGCAGCATTAGTGACCAGAAGGATCCCAAGGATCGAATGGTTCAGGTTGTGAAATGGTACCTCTCAGCCTTTCATGCAGGAAGGAAAGGATCAGTTGCCAAAAAGCCATACAATCCCATTTTGGGCGAGATTTTTCAGTGTCATTGGACATTACCAAATGATACTGAAGAGAACACTGTGAGTTCTGCATTGACATTTTTAAATTATTTTAATTGTATACTGATTCAAGATTTTATTTAGGGACAGATGATAATGATGAAAGCAATGATCAAAAGATGGTCACCACCCATAGAAGAAATTGTTGTTAGAGCAGCATAGTTTGAATGTAGTGAGGAGGGAAAAGAGTAGGATGAGATGAGGATGGGGATGTAGAAATCAGATCTTGCAAGGTCTTGTGGGCCATAATATAATTTTATGGTTTTTCAGGATCTCATTTTTGTTTTGAGAAGATCATTAGAATGATTTTGTGAAAAGTAAGTTGAGAAGGGACAAATACAGAGGCATGGAGACCATTGTGGAGGCTTTGACATTATTCCAAGAGAGACATGGTGATTCAAGCTTTATTGTGGAGGTAGAAGTGATTGATGGATTGGGGGGGTAAGGGAAAGGAGACATCAGAGATGAATCCTTGTGTGTGGACTTAAGCAGTGGCAGTGTCATTTACTGATAAGGTAAAGATTGGATTTGGGGAGGGAAAAATCAAAATCTAATATAAAATATAGTTTTAGAGGTCTGTGAAGCTGCCAAGAAGGGAGTTGGAATTTAAGAGTGTGGAGTTTAGGGAGAGGTCTGAGATGGAGATGGGGCTTTCAAAGATTATAGTGTAGTTAGATGACATTTTAAAGCTCTAGGATTGGATAAAATTATTTAGGAAGACAGCATAGCTACAGAAGTAGGTAACCCAGAACTGAGGCTCCAACAAATTTAGTGGTTGAAGAAAATGACCAGCAAGGAAGACTCAAATGCATGTAAAAAGGCTTTTAGAAGTGAAAAAAACAAAACCATAGCCCACAGCACCTGACACGTAATAATCTGTCAGTAAACATGGTTCTCCATATGTTTCCCTTTCCAAGTGACACATTATATATAGGCCATACTGAAGACAGAGAAGCATGTGTCTGTTCTTACTCATTTGGCAGACATTGATAAGTGCCTACTCTTGTCAGCCCTGAGTGAGGCACATGATCCTTGCCTTTAAGAATGTCTTAGTCTAGTCAGGGAGACTGACACAAAGCAATTAAAATATTGAATTAAGTTCTGCAATAGAAATATAGGGTGCTTGGTGTGTGTAGAGCGAGCAGAGACCCCAATTATCAGATTCTCTGAAATGTCATTTGTGTTTTCTCATCAAAAGAAAATTATGTTATATTTGCTTGCAGGAACTAGTTTCAGAAGGACCAGTTCCCTGGGTTTCCAAAAACAGTGTAACATTCGTGGCTGAGCAGGTTTCCCATCATCCACCCAGTAAGTCACAGAGCTCCTCTGCAACCTCTGCTCTCCAACTGTTCTGTCTAAAGAGGGTCATTAAAAGCTCCATAGCTGAGGTTACTGTTAGTTGTGTGACTAGCTGTGTGTTTCCTATTCCCTGAAGTGGAAACTCAAGTTGATTGGTTCCTCATATCTTTTCCTTTTGTAAGCTCCAGACTCTGAGCTTCACAAATTAGGTATGTATAAAAAGAAGGAATTTAGGAAACCAACTTTTAATGCTTCCAGAGTCATCTTATATATAGTAATTTGTGCTGTAGAGACTTCAGCAACTGTGAGACAGTTTATATAAGTGATACGTAGTTTCTACACAGTGTATTCCTGGCATACTGCAGATACCAAAACCGTGGATGCTCAAGTGTCTTACATAAAATGGTGTCTTTTATATTCGTATAACCCATGCACACCCTCCTGTATACTTGGGCATCTCTAGATTACTTGTAATGCCTAATACAGTGTAAATGCTACGTAAATAGTTATTTCACTGTTTCTTTTATTTGTATTATTTTTATTTTGTATTTTATTATTTTTTCTAGACAGGGTCTTGCTCTGTCCCCCAGGGTGGAGTGCAGTGGCACAATCATAGCTCACTGCAGCTTCCTGGGCTCAAATGATCCTCCCACCTCAGCCTCCCAATTAGCTGGAACTATGGACGTGTGCCACCACACCCAACTAATTTTTTTATTTTTATTTTTTAGAGTCAATGTATCACTCTGTTGCCCAGGCTGGTCTCAAATTCCTGGCCTCAAGTGATCCTCCCGTCTTGGCCTCCCAAAGTACTGGGATTGCAGGCATTAGCCACTGAGCACAGCCTCTGTATATTTTAGACTCACAGTTGGCTGAATCTGTGGGTACAAAACTCATGGATATGGAGGGTCAACTGTACATACCCTCAACATCTTGTTTGTTTAGTGCAGTATTAAAACTGGAAACACTGGATGGGCCTAGGTTGGGGCTGGAGCCTGGGCATACTTGCAGACCAGAACAGATAGCCCTTTTGGTTTTAGGCTTCCTGGGTTGGCCACAGCATCATTTCAGGGATGACTCTGTCCACATGTCTCTGAATGAATGCTTGCATTGGGGAAAAGGGTATAAAAGGCAGGTAGGTACCTCCTGGCCTAATTGGAGGCTGTTTGAAGGGTAAAGGATTCCCCATGAAGCCAGTTATTTCCCTAGGTTATGTAATTTTGGAGAGGTGGCTGTAGGTATATAATGTACTAACTGAAAATTTCTATTCAGTTTCAGCCTTTTATGCTGAGTGTTTTAACAAGAAGATACAATTCAATGCTCATATCTGGACCAAATCAAAATTCCTTGGGATGTCAATTGGGGTGCACAACATAGGGCAGGGTAAGTGTGTTGGCACTGGGTGGACTACAGTGTTATAGGAGAATTTTATGTCATTCTAATGTGTGATGGACACTTGTCTAGTAAAAGAAAATGGCTAGACTAGATGTCATTGTTAGCAACTAAGCATTGGTATTGGGGGTGAGAGCAAGGGTGGGGAGCTAGAGAGGTTATCCCTAAATTGAATGGAGTATCCATCAACTCGACAAGAAAGCCTTGTGGCCACTTGGCACTACTCATCAGAGATTCTGTCCCTTCTCTCCACAGGCTGTGTCTCATGTCTAGACTATGATGAACATTACATTCTCACATTCCCCAATGGCTATGGAAGGCAAGTGTGCTCATTTCCTGTCATCAGCAGTAGACTCTGCTGTTCCCTGAAACATGCCCCTTCCGCCTCTTCCTCTTAACTCTCAACCTTACCTAAAAATTTTGATTTTGCAGGTCTATCCTCACAGTGCCCTGGGTGGAATTAGGAGGAGAATGCAATATTAATTGTTCCAAAACAGGCTATAGTGCAAATATCATCTTCCACACTAAACCCTTCTATGGGGGCAAGAAGCACAGAATTACTGCTGAGATTTTGTAGGTATTTTTTCTGCCTTAGAACTCTTATGCTTTTCTGAAATAATTGCCTTTTGTCTTGAACTATAGCTTCTGGATTAGGAGTGTGAAAGAATGGTTCTGTCTTTGTAAGCCTGTTTCACATTTTATGTGTCATGTCTTTTGCTAAAATCCGGTATCAGAAGAAGACCTAAAACATATATTCAAAGCAGTCAAAGGTCATTGATAGGTTTCCTTCCTAAGAACCTGACTTGCAATGTTGAACCAAAAGAGGCCTTCTTAGGTTGCCTAGCTAAACCAGATTATGGATCGCTAATTTATTCTTGCCAGATTGAACGACGAGCTGGTCCTTACAGCAGACTTTGTGACCCCCGCAGCATTGCCTCCAAGTCCTTACAGCGACCCCTTTTTCTGTGCCTTTGCTGGGGAAAAATAGTAACCATCACATTTTGCAGGCATCTGGCTTGCTTCCATTTGATACTCTCGGGTCAGATGCGGATGGCTGTGCCAGTCAGTGGAAGGTCTACAGTGAGGGTACCATGACTTTCTCTGACTCTGGAACCCTTAACTGGGGGGAAGGGGACAGTGGGAAAGAAAGTTTCAGGCATTGATAGCAGCTCTCCTCCCTCTGCCCTGTTCATTTCCCCCTTTTCTGGCCTCTTTCAATCTTGTTTATGCCTTGCCCTTCCTAACCAGGCCTTTGCTGTGTTGCTTATCTTCTCACATTCCATATTTGTGTGTCCAAGTAGAGGTCTGTTAAGGCTTTTGCAGAATGGATCTTTGCTCAGGGAAAGTATTCACACCATTTGGCACAGAGGTCCTTTTCAACCTGAGGATGAAAGCCTGGTCTCCAGCATTATATTCTTAAGCAAAGCCTTCCCTGACCCCCAGTGCCCATGTAAGCTCACCACAGCACTTACCACGTAGAATCTCAGTGGTGATATGTGTCTCCACTAGGCTGTGGACAGGTTGAGGATAGGGAATTTGCCAAGTCTATTATGGTCCTTGTACCCAGAATAGGACGTTCTTGCCCTAACCCACTGTTCTTGGGAGCTCAAGTTCATAAGCATCTTGCTGAAGGCCCTCATTCTTATAGTGAGCCCTGGGGAGTCCAGTTCTGTTAAGATGCTTTCGTCAAAAACTTCACAGTTGCTCTTCTGTGCTCTACTCCGTAGTTGGGCCACACTGAGCAGATTCTTCGGTGGAATACTTTTCAACCTGAGACTAACACAAGTATTTCCTTTTCTGTTCAGTTCTCCAAATGACAAGAAGTCTTTTTGCTCAATTGAAGGGGAATGGAATGGTGTGATGTATGCAAAATATGCAACAGGGGTAAGATCCTCTATTTTGCCACTTGTTTTAGGCTACATTAGATTGTACTTTATCCCTTATTCTGGCTTCCTTCATTAGCACTTCCTTCATAATGCTCTTCCTTCTACAGTACATTAGAGCTGGGACTTTAGGACAGCTCCAATGTATGTCATCTCTTCAGGGCAAGCTTTTTCTTTCCTTCCCTCACCTTCTCCCAGCAGAATAGGTAATTATAATCATTTTTACTTTTCTCTCTGCTCTCAAATCACTTGAGAATAATATATGTGAAACAATACCTGGCACATAGTAAGAACCCAGTAAATGTTAAGTATGTGGGGTATGTTTATAAAATGAAGCACTAATCTGTGATTTTCATACACAACTTAAGATTTTGTATAATAAAATTTACTGACTGCCTGGCACCAGAGATAGCAAAATGAGTTAAGATAGTCCTTTCCTTCAAGGAACTTGCAGTCTGTACTACTACCCACGCAGTGTTCTTAAATAAAGAGGAAAGATGGTATGAAATCAACAGGAGGAGCCAGTGAACTGCATTTTGGACCTAGAGAATTTGAAATGTCAAAAGCACTACAGTGCGCCTAACATTAGGTTAGGGGTTTATGGGTCTAGTTGCCATCTACCTCTATTGTTTTCTAGGAAAATACAGTCTTTGTAGATACCAAGAAGTTGCCTATAATCAAGAAGAAAGTGAGGAAGTTGGAAGATCAGAATGAGTATGAATCCCGCAGGTAAGCAGACATTGTTAAGTGTAACTATTGCTGCAGTGCTTAAACTTTGCCTAGGCGTAGGCACAGGCCTGGGTTTGAGAGACAGTAGGGCAGAGCATAATAGTGTAGACCAAGTTTGAATGCCTGGGTTCGTATATCAGAACTACCACTTACTACCTTTGTGACCATGGATGGCTCAGTTAGCTAACTTCTCTTTACCTTCTTTCCTGAAATGGGAATAAAGGCCTTGAGAGGAAGCCACATCTTAACTACCTTAAGCCTCTGTAATTTACCTCTTGACCCTTATTCTCTCCATTCATACTGTTTTCGCCACCACATTGTTAAACCCAAGGGAGTTTTTCTGAAATGGAACTTCTCAGTTCCTCTTAACTGTCAGTTTATATTAAGGGACACTCAAGCCCTACAGAGGTAAACTGATTGACCCAGAGTTACACAGTAAGTTAAACATTGAGCCAGAAGTAGAATCCCAGGTCTCAGCTTCCACTATTCTTTTTCTTCTGTTGACCTTATCGTATTATCAGGCAGCCCTTATTTCCTTCTTTGATAACTAGCAGTGGAGTCTTCTGAGCCCATATCTCTGTTCCTTACTCCAGTGCCCTGGTGCCAGCATAAGGAGATTTAGTCTGTGACCTACAGCACTTAAAGCCATTTGAATTGTATTATACTACATTCAGGATGGCTGCAGGCTTTCATTCTCAACATTGCCAGCTCCTCTTATCTCTTTGTTTTAGCCTTTGGAAGGATGTCACTTTCAACTTAAAAATCAGAGACATTGATGCAGCAACTGAAGCAAAGCACAGGCTTGAAGAAAGACAAAGAGCAGAAGCCCGAGAAAGGAAGGAGAAGGAGATTCAGTGGGAGACAAGGGTAATCTTGCCTGCCCCACCCTCCTAAGTGCTATTCCTCCTAATTTATTTCAGTGAATGTTGAAGAAGTGATGTGCCAAACACTGTTTATAAACAAGATGATCCCTGGTCCCTACTTGAAACTCATTTCAGTCTAATGTCAGGCTGGGGAGAAGACATGAAATAATAAGTATATTATGAAGTACAAAGCAAATATGTAATTAAATTCTTCCCCTTTCTCTTACAGTTATTTCATGAAGATGGAGAATGCTGGGTTTACGATGAACCATTACTGAAACGTCTTGGTGCTGCCAAGCATTAGGTTGGAAGATGCAAAGTTTATACCTGATGATCAGGGCAGTAGGCATAATTCAGCAACAAACAATCTTCCTTTGGGAGAAACCTGTTCACTCCCTTCTAATTACAGTGGTTCCTATCTCAGGGATACTGGACTTTCTGACGCAAATGAACAATTAAGGGGAAAAGCTTCCCTTTTCCCTCTGTGGCAGTTACGATTTTGATTTCAGTCCTGAGAAAAACTTCAGGTTTTGAAAACCAGATGATGTCTTCTCCTTTTCCAAACACCACACGTTGAAAGCATTTATAAATCCAAGTCTGAAACTGCACTCTAGTTCTGCTGTTAAGATATACAACCTGTTTCTTAGTTCATATAATCTCGGGATACACACATATACACATACACACACATACATATATATAAAATATACCTGATGCCAGATTTTTTCATAAATATTCTGCCTACTGTAAATATGGGTTCCTCTGAGTTGTTTTAGAAAATTAGTGCAATGTATTAAAATCAAGTGTTAGGAAATTTCATGGTCTTACTTAAAATAACTTTTATTTTGGAACTGAACTATTATTAAATTGTATCTAATCCTGGATTACAGTTTAATTAATTATTCTTAGTGCTGCTTAAGGCTTCATAAAGTAATTTTTCCAACCTTTTTTTAAAAATGTGCATCTTTTATTATCTTTTATGGTTAAACTTGGAAGCCAATTATTCAGCAACCTTGAATACAAGAGCTAGCTTTTCAGAAAGACACTTGAAAAATGGAGGATCCATTCTTTTCCTCTCAGACTCTATGTTCTGTCTTTAGCCCTGCCAGGCGATTCCCCAGAATCTTAACTCATATTGCACATGTAGGGCTGCCTGCCAACATTTTATCCAAAAATGTTTTATTGCTTTAGAGGGTTTGGGAAGAGTATGTATTTATAGATCCCCACCCCACAGTGAACCAACATAGATATGATAAAATGAATGCCACAGCAGCAAATGGCTCATTCTGAAGGGAAATACAGAACTATCTTTATTTAAAAATACATCAAAAAAAAAAACCACACAGGAGTTAGTACCTAGCATTTAGGTACTAACACTAATACCTAGCATTTAGTTATTCAATATACTGGTTACATAAGGCCTTTCAAGAAGTGGATTCTCAGTCTGAGAGGACACAGGCCAGGGCTTCTCAAAGTGCTGCTGCAAGCTTTCTGGTCTCACTTGGCCCACTCTGCTAATCTTCCTTTGCCAGCTCCTACAGTAACCCTGGGTTTATTAGTCTCAACAAAGAAAGGATAAAAAGTAAATCAAATGCTATGATGCCAGTGCAAAACTTCAATGGAAGCCCTAAGGCAGTAGTATAACTCCATAAAATACAAACACATTTTAAAATACACATTGCTTCAGGCCAACGCGACTGCAGTTTATTTGACTATTTTATGGTAGGGGAGAAGGTTGAGTGTTGATGTGAAAGCCCTGATATCAGTAATGGGGATGATACAATCTGCCAGCAGAGGCGAGGTTGGCAGGTAGGTTAGCTGCATCACTTCACAAGAAGAATTTGAATCCTCACCAGAAGGGGTACTATCCTCTTCCAGTTCATACTTCCCATATCCAACAACCTGAAAGAGGTCAAAGACAAAAGTGAAAATTCTGCTGACCAGATTTAGGGGTTTAAGATTTCTGATAACCACCCAAACTCAGTAAACGACAACCCTAGAATGGATGGAGTTAACCATACTCACATGAACGCTGAGCATTTTACTTCCTGGCCCTCTATGAGCCTTGAACCAGTTGACCAGGTCTGATTTTGAGAATGACTTAAGTGCTTCAATCTGACAAGGGAAGGGAAGATAGGAAAGAAATTTAAGAAGAAAGTTAGCTCTTAAACCTAACCCCCAGGCAGATGTCCCTGGACCTGCTTAGCATCTGAAGACATTTTATTCTTCCTATTCTCAGGTCACCCCTAATCTTCCAGACCAAAACAATGATGAAGCTCTCGCATACCTTCACATTTTATACCAATCATCTACAATGGCAAGAGAGGTTAGCAGATGCTCTAATTACAGCTAAATATCAGACACTGAGCCCAACACCCACATCTCCTTACTGTCACCTCCCAGTTACATGGTAGCTGCATACCATGGCTTGAGGAAATCTACCTTGCTTCTATTAAGAAAACTAGACTGCGTTAAGATGAAGCCTCTTTCCATCACAGAGCAATGATGTCCTATGGTGATTCACCATATAGGGGCTACATATTAACCAAAGTCACACTGAAGTACAGGATCCAGATCTGTTTTTCACAGGTTTTACTACTTTGGAATAGAAGTTGTCAAAAGACCGGCACCTGGAATAATGAACTCCATAAAGACAAAGAGTCCTCAGTTTTCTTTAAATGGCAAAACTATTTTCTCCACAAAATCTTGTAAACCTCAATATATAGCATAAAAAGAGAGCTGCTCTGATTGAAATTGGTGGTGGTGTGGTAAGGATTAGCACCCAGCTCACGTGGCCAACTAAGGTGCTAGAGGCCAGTCTGAAAACTCAAGAAGTGAGCGAGTAATCAGGCCAGGACTAGTGTTTCGAGTTTCTCTTCCACACAATGCTGGTGTGCATGAACCTGTGATTCCTGTAGAATCAGGAACCTTCACCAGTTTGTCTGAGCTGTCTTACTCTGAAAACCATGTTACCTCGTGGGCAAGGCGGTCAAAGAGGTACTGCTGTGTCACCACTTCATTCCAGTTCCTATCCACCTCCTCCCCAAGGTGGGTATCCTCACACTCCTTCAGCTTGATGAGAGCTGTGACCTGTTCCCACCAAAAAGAAAAATGCTCAGGGGGGGCCACATACCACTTCCCCCAGAACACACCGGGCCCTGTCCAGCCTGGCTTGTGATGGACATGCCAGTATGAGACGGATTGATGAAGCTAGGGGGACACTATGGTAAGAGGAAGGTGGAGCTGCAAAGCTCAAAAACTGGCCAGCGAAGCCCTGTTAAGACTTGTATCTGGGAACCTGTGTGGGCCAAAGGCCAAAAGACCAGGCTGGCACAGTCACCTGGGTGTTGAATGCCTCTTCAGTGAGATTCTCGATCTTCTCCTCGAAGCTAGAAAGAAACTCTTCTATCTTCTTATCAACAACTTCAGAACTGAAACAAAACATCTTCAATTAAGTCATCAGAAACCTGATCTCAGGCAGAAGGTAAAAGAGAATTAAGACTAAGACACATTTCCAGGAAAAAAGGCTAAAGTGTTTTCCCAGGCCTCAGTATTCCACCTGAAGTTGAGGAAAGAAAGAGAACAGGACCCTCCCCCTCACCCCACCTCCAGCCCAGTGTCCAGGTATCCTCATAATGAAGCAGTCACAACCATGTTTGACCATTCCAAATCTGAAAACTAACAGCATGCCTGTCAGATCAGGCATCCTTTCCCTTCTTGTCCTCAGGTCTGCCTGAAGAGAAGAAACTGGCAAGCCCCACACAATGACCACAGGACTTGAATCAAATCCTATAGGGCCACTGGAACTACTGATCAGTCCTGGAACAGGTCATCTATAACAACCCCCATCTTCCCAGCTTCCACTGACTAAACAGAGCAAACCTACTTGGTCAGGGGTGCCTAAGGTTTAAGGAAGCACATGTAGCCCCTACTCTCCATGCCCATAATAGGAGGTTACACTCATCTATTCACTCACTTGTATTTGGTTGCCTGAGTCCCCACAGTGACAGAAAATCCTAGAATCCCGGATGTGTTCCTACAGGTAGGGTAGACATGGTACCTACAGCCAGAGAGAAAAGTTATATGAGCTCAGGTGATCATCTGGGCCTTGGCCTTGGAGGCACTAGATAGGAGTGGGAAAAGTTTCTGCCCATCCTTACTGGAACGACCCAAAAATGTTAAGGTGTCCATACCTCTCCTGAATTGGGGACCACACACTAGCCTTTTTTCTTATCTTGAAACTTGACCCATGGAAAACCTGATTATAGTCCAAGGTACAAATTCCAAAAGTTTGGATGAGTAAGTATCACCCTGTGAGATGGAAGGAAGCTCTAACAGGCTGCTCAGTAAGGATATTTGATGAACTTCAGCCTGCAATTAGCCCTAGGCCCTTACTTGAGCTCAGTGGCCTTGCAGCAGACTTACCCAAGGGTCTGCTTGGTTCGAAGGAAGTCAAAACAAGGTTCTTCCATGTGCATCTGTAATTCAACATACTGCCCATCAGCCCAACTCCTCCCAGCAGAGAAACCTCCATTTCTCTCCCCAGAGTGTTTCACATACCTCCCAAGTCCAGCCTCCCTTAGTGCCTGTCCATGCTTATACTGGGTGAGAACAGTAGATGACCATCTCACCTTCAAATCACAGGTCTCTGACCTCCCCATGGCCCTATCCCAGGCAGAAAAGTGGGCCGGGGGCTGCTGGAAACCTCAGTGTCTCTGTGCACTTACCACAAGCAGCTCCATGAGAGTGTATTCTCTCAGACTCCTGGTACCTGACTGAGAAGAGACGGTTGTCAGGTCAACTGAATATCCAATGGTTTATAGGGCTTTTAAATAATCCAGCTATTCTAGGCAACCACTTAGGTATCACCACCAATGCTCTCCCCCAAGAGAGTTAATCATACTTCGATGTTGTTTACATATCTGCCTTCCCACCAGACTGAAGGTCTATGACGACAGGAGTCAAGCTTGACCATTTGTACTCCCGGCACTAGCATAGAATTGCAGGTGCAAACAAAAGTGAGATTAATAATCCCTGACCTGCCGGATCCTGTCAGAGGACACATTCTAAAATTAAGTACTTGCAACTCAAAGCCCTAAGGAAGACAGCAGGAAATGTCTGGGGAATCCTGAAATGTATCTGGATCTATTCCTCAGGAGGAAAGAAAATGAATAGTGCCACACACAAGAATTGGTGCCACACACACGGACCAAAATCAGTTGATAAGAAAAATATTTCGGAGGAAGAAGCCATGCTTTGGGACCACATGCTAGCTGCCCAAGACTGGCAAAATAATGCATTCAGAATGAAAGAACAGGAGGCCAATAAACAAGGATGTTGCTAGTGCATCCCAGAGTCAGGATCTTGCAGGTTCCTCTCACACAGACTCATTTGCTTCCCACTCACCAGAGGAAGAAGCTAATGCCTATGTGCCCTTGCAAGACCTGATTAGTCAGCATTGAGATTTTCTGTTTCCCTCTAAAAAGACCACAACAAAACCAATGCTCTCTGAGAAAGGATATGGTTTCCATAAGGAAACAGTCTGTATTAGAAGCTAAGAGGTGACTGATGGAAAGCATTTCTATAAACATAGTCTTACAATGTGAAATCCTGCCGAAAATGAGTACTCCTGTCCTGGGGTTGTAGGCAGTCAGAGGCACTGAAAATGTAGACTAGGTTAAGAAGGGCTAGGCCGTACCATTTGTGGAGTTTGGGACCTGGTAGTCATAACCTAGAAAAGGCTGCAGGTTGGAATGCTACAACCACAGAGGCTCCAGAGAGAAGCAGGGCCTCTACAGAAGGACAAAAATGTTACCAACCTAGCTCCAAAATTGCTGTTGTTCCTAAATCAAACTACTCATTAAGAAGACTAGGACAAGACACAACTTCAATAACGAGATGATCGTGACACTGGGCAAGTGAATTTGCTCCTGACAACCAGACCAGAATAAT